TCGAGAAGCTGAGAGTAAGTTTGACCATTCACGGCGAAGTCCGGAGGTCATGGAAGCACAATATTATTTTGCTTTGTTCTACAGAAAGACGATTCCTGGAATATTTATTTACAAACTCGAATCTGAAATATTCCACTGCGATATGTAAATATATCAAAATGTAACAAAACGTGTAAGAAATAAGTAGTAATAAGTGAAATAGTAAAAAAAAAAGTGAAAATAATTAAATCAAAATCGAGTAAATAAAAAAAATCATGCAGGTAACTTCTACCTGTAAAAATATATTTACATGAAAATCCATACCCTCTCATAAGGCTTTACTTATTTCAGTGGCAGCATTTAAACCATACCCCAAAGAGGGGGGCAATCGTCGCCGCGTCCCCAAACGGGAACAATACTCGTATTCCTTATGAACGCCCGTGTGTTATGGACATTAGTGAGTTACCAAGGGCGAGGAGAAGAGCGCAGACAACTTTCCAGGCGCTGAGCATCCCCTTGGTACATTGGTAGCGCGTGAAATCTTCCCAGTGATATTGTCAGTGTGAGGAAATATTCGTATTTATCGAGGTGATTGATTATTATTGCTCTTGAAGACCAGAAACAGACAAGGGGGAAGCAGCATTGCATTTCCTTGCTCTCTATTGCGTTAAAATCTTTAACAATAGAGGTTCAAGCAGTTTCGAGGCTAGTGGTTTTAGAAAAAAAAACAACAGAAAGGGCGATTCTCACTTCTGATTAACTCAACAATGTCTTCCTAATTTAAGTAATTGCCGACTATTTGCCTGAAAGAAGAAATGCAGAATTAATTAATGATTAAATGCAATAGTGAGTGACCATGTGAATAATTCATTAATACGACTCGCTGTTCCTTAATTTCTTTGAGATTTACCTAATTTTAACCGGGGGTCTGTTAATCCTTAGTTTATTTGATAAGGATCGATAACAAATATTTGTAAAAGAAATTTGTACACTCTCAACTTACAAATTATATAAAACAATACAAATGCCCCGATTGAGATTTGTAAAGATGTAGAATGTTCCTGTTTTTGCGCAAAATATGCATGTACATGTAGTTGATAAATGTCGAACAAAAACAAAAATTTTCAAGTCTAGAACTCTAAAATTATTAATTTTACAACAAAACCTTATAGTAACTTTAATTTTATGTAGAACCTAATATTTTGTGGGATTGATATTTATGGAGATATTTACAAAAAACTTCGAAATAGCACCTTCAAACGGCCGCCTCGCCCCCGGTTCACCCCCCACACTTCAGGATTTTTAATATGTTTTGCAGTAAGTACCATCAAACAATCATGCCAAGATTAAAAACTCCGGATTTTTTTCCTTCGATTGCCATATTTTGATCTAAATTTATGGGCTATTAGGGGGTTCAACGGTCTCAGTAACCGGAACCAACTATTAATCATATTACGAATAGCTACTGGTATATATCTTTGACTCACCAAATATTCCGCGAAGCAATCAATATTCTGTGTAATCTAATCTTCAGACCAACAAATACTTTTAACTTTTCTTACAAGAAAAGAAAATACAACTTATTAAGTCTTCCTCCGAGTTTACAGTCATTTAATTAAAGCATTCAATATCTCTTCAAGAATGACATTGGAGTTTTAAATTAACGCCTCCAAGTGTTAAAAAAATATCAGGACGTTATTGTTTTTAGACAGTCTGTAAGAAGAGTCATGAAGAGAATAACTTGATTAATTTTTGTACGAGTTTGTCTCCTGTGTGAAAAGAATGTTTACTGGTAAATTTACAATTATCTTTTCTGGACCAATACCCTTTATTTTGTACAAAGATACTTCTCTTATTATTAATGTTTCTGTTTGTAAAAATAAATGTACCGGTATGGAATTTTATTACAAAAAATATACACTTAATTTGTCAGCAAGCGCGATAGTATTGGTTAGTGGGGCTACAGCAGCGCGTACTTTAGCGTATTATTTTTAACGGCTCCGCAATATTCTACTTCATGAACCTACAAACGAGGTTTCAAACAGCAAAATTTTGGTCCGCACCGAAACTCGAGGTCAGGTCCTGCGAGTTAACTCACCGTGTGTCTTACCGCTACACCAGGCAGCCGCACTGAAACCCACTCAAAAATCTAATTGTCTCAATCCAGTATATCCAGCACCCACTGCTAGAAGTGGCTCTGGACTCAACTGAGTCATTGGAGTGCCTCTGACCGGGAGGTTTTAGGTTCGAGTCCCGACGGTGAATTTCAACAGCTAGAGAGCTAGGTCGAATTGAGTTGCTGTCTGGAGGATAATTTTAGCGACCGGCATCTCTGATCGGTAGTTTTTCGTGGTTTCTCCCAGTCAGTCGACTGCCGGGAGCAATACCCTGCCAAACTATCCTTGGACCGCGCACGATCTTTTATTCCCATTCTTTGTCCAATCCTCACTCCTTGCACAAACCTACATTTACATGCAATACACTAACATGCCGGGAGACCGGTCGGGAGCTTTAGGGCGTGTCTGGGGCGCTTGCCGGGGCGGTGCTCCGCTGCTCGGGAAAACCCTGCTAGTCGACAGGTAGGTCGGCGCCGGATCTCACCATCCAGCGGATACATGCGCTACACTTATGGGACTAATGTTCTTATTTGATGCGCCCGAAATCACAAATCAATCACTCGAACACGCGATTTTCGAAAATTCAAAGAGATCAACGAAAATGAAACCTTCACCATTCTTTTAAACATTCGTCTACGCTAGTGTCTACTCATGAACTTGGAATTTGTAAGGAATGAAGGTACCTACTACACCAAACGGCTGAGGTGACATAATCAATTTCCCGACGTGTTGAAAATATTATCAATTTTCCAAATTTCAGAGGCTGTAATGAAAGTCGAATTCACCTCATTTTATGAAGCAAATATCGCTCTCTACAAGTAATATTAAAATTGAGCTGTTTTTAAGAAAATCATGTTTAATATAACTTTTAGAAAATATAAGTATTAAAAGCATACTATATTAGAGTAGTAAAGTAGAATATTAGTAGTAAAATATAGCTTTTTTGTTTTTAGAAAAATTCTAAAATGTTGTGACTTCCTGTAAAGTATACCCCAAAATTAAAATATCCGTTTCATATTCAAGGGGGGGGGCATGACGTCCTCCAGATGGATCAAGAAATTTCAAATTGAAGTCTAGATGAAGTTCCGATGAACGGTTTAGACTTTTTTTTTTTGGTGAGTAACCATTTTGAAAGGAAACTTTATTTTAAACCAACACAAAAAGTAATTTAGATATTCACCAAGTAGGCCTAAGGACAAAAATGATCTGCCTTTCTCAGCTTATTCAATTCACACAACCTGTAGTACAAACCTTACGCCTACATTCGAAATAAATAACTTGGGGACCGTTAGTACACTTCACTGTGGATTTTTTCTGAAAACTTTCCTTTCTGAGTTGTCACAAGGAATTACATCTCTATGTTCTTGTAATGTATTCCCAGAGCCTTGTACGTTTGCTTTTACATCGCGCCATAGGTTTGGTATCTGTAGTTCCTCTGATGATGATCAATTAAATTGTGTGCCAAGCCTGTTAAAAACTGGAAACGGGTCATCATTGCACGTCTTGCATATTGCGTGTACAAATACAATAATTTATGTTGACAATGCTAGGGAACTCTTGTTTTGTCTTGTTCACTAATAAACCAGAATGGCAATGCTCCTGGAGCTATCCGGTACAGGAAACCTCATGCATACTGCACATAAGTGCAGCTGCACAGCACTTGTAAGCTCTAGTATTCGAAAATTAATTTTTAATCTAAAGAACGATGTTCCACAATGAAGTAACAAGTAACAGGTGGGATAGGGATGCAAAAGGAAGGTACTGAATGTATGAATGAATTAGAGCAAACAGGTTGGCCACAATCGGAAAGCGAAATATACCACCGGGTTCACAGATCGGAAGAACTATTATAAAGTAAATGAAGATAAAAGTCAAATTTCAAATCAAAATCAGTTGTTTCCGGGCTTGAAGGCCGTGGTCCAATGGAGACTTGTCCAACAAGTCTCCATTGGACCACGGCCTCCAAGCCCGGAAACAACTGATTTTGATGTGGAAACCGGCCGTGAAAGCCTACATTGTATGTTAAAAGTCAATTTATTCAATGCTGAACAATTACAGCGAAAATTCCATTTTCATGGATTCCGAATATCACATACATGAAGTCTAAAACCGCTGCGGCAAATGTCGGTTTTGATCAGGTAATCTTATTCCAGCATCAGTTATGGTAACTTATTTTTAAAATAAATGAATAAATCTTTTAAAATAAAAAAGATTCGAAACAATTCTTCGGAGCCTCCACGTAAAAATCAAGAGAACCTTCAATGGAAATCTAGTTAGGGACGTTTACCTGGTCTTGCAGTGTTTTACAAATCCGTCTAACGATCCAACTAACGATCTAATACGGAATTTTGCTATGAAACGTGAAATGTTCACTTGGTTACTAGTTAACGATATACGCTATCTGGTTTCAACACTTTCTTTTTATTTGAATGTTTTTTTAAACGTTATAATGGATGTCACAGCTGTCGGAATGGGGAGCGTACGACACCACACTACCTTCGGGAATGACTCAGGAAAAACGATCACGAGCATTATCTGACATGCACAACCTCATACCCAGTACTATTTTACATTACAGGGGTCGACACAAAGAATGTTTAAGGTCTTTCTTCTTCTTCTTCTTCTTCTTCTTCTTCTTCTTCTTCTTCTTCTTCTTCTTCTTCTTATTATTATTATTATTATTATTATTATTATTATTATTATTATTTATTCACTATTTAACGGAAAAAGATGCAGTGTCGTCGCGAACGGCACCGTGCCTACAGAAAAGTTGGTTCTGTATGTGCCGTATGTGGTCTGTTCATTTGAAAGTGGGAAATGTGTGAGTGGTTCAGTTTATTAACATGATATACCAGAATGAAGAGCGAAGAGGAAGTGTGGATAGTAAACACTGCAGGATGTGGCAGTAGTCGGAGTGTCCCCCAAAACAACGTACAGTGTATGGTCGCGTGTGCTTACAAAATAGAAGATTAAGCCCATCCACGAGCGTCTACAGCAAGATCCCGTTATCAACGAGACCCTGCTTCCTGTTATCAGCAGTAGAAAGCGATGCAACTGTAGCCGTCAAGGGCGCAGGGCATCAATCTGTCTGCCCGCAGTCGTCCGTCAGCATTCGGTTATGAATGTGAGTTTGCGTGTGCCAGGTCAATTGCGTGACTTATTGCCATCAGGACTGCCACAGTCCGTGACGAAATCCAATGGAGAGTCATCGTAGGTGCGCACAAACAATGTCATCTGATGAAGATTCATGTATGTATTTGAAGTCGAATTGATTGATTATTGATTGTAATTCACATAGTGAACTAGATATTCTTACTGTTTTTTCTCTATCGAAAAGTCAAAAAGCAAGCTGCTACTGTAATACAATTCGAGTTCGTTCAAACTTGATATAATTGGTTCACGATGGGCGAAATATGGAGAGACGAGACTTCATGGGCCATGAATTTCTATTGTGGGCTGCTTACGGGATCTTTGGCATATTTTTGAGAGCCGAACATAAGTGGCCAGTTGCTGCTACGTAAGATCAGAGTCAGCGCGGCATTCTTTAGCCCAGAGCAGTGTTTTTCAATTATTTTAAGTTCAAGGAAATTCAGTCAGTTATAGTCACCTAAATATTTTTCATTCTTAATAGATTTTTACATAACTTTAAATAGTTTAATGTTACTTCAACAGAAATATATTGTAGCTTTTTGCTCCAGTTTCTGGAATAATAACTGTTTGGTTTCTATTGAGCCTTTGCTTCAACTGTGAACCGCATTCCTCCACGTATTCAACTAAGATGTTACTTAGCTTATTGTCGCAGATTTCCGGTGATCCTCGAGAAAATTCATTAAGGATTTCAAAATTTAGGGGTAGACAGTACTCGTACGATTAAAAGTCGCGGTCGTAAAGGATTTGCATTGTGTGTGTGTGTGTGTGTGTGAAGGTTAAGTGCCTCACATTTTGCTCTTTATATATTTCAACATTTGGGCGCATTAACATCACGATGAAATTTAACACTTTACTTTCAAGTTGAAATAGCAATATCGCGCGCGCGCGCGCGCGCACACACACACACACACACACACACACACACACACACACACACACACACACACACACACAGATTCAGGAATATGTTGTTATTTTACAAGTACATTGTAATTTGAAAGTAATTTGTCCGCATGCAAGTTGTATGGTCTTTGACGAAATTTAACTTGTTTCTTGTTGCATGACCATGGAACTAGAGCTAGTTATATTAATATATAATATAAATCACTCTTACAGTCTAATCATACAAAAATACCGCCGGAAATAAATCCCTTTTTAAAACAATAGCACGAGAGTTTATAAGAAGTTATAAGGCCAGAGCGCCTTCAGCGCGTTCGTGACAATAAAAGCTCCAGAGTGCGAATGCGCGAATCAACAAGTCTGGTAGAATGTTAACGCACTTCTTACACTCTCCCAGACTGTATGCTAGCATAATAAATCGGAAATAGTTTCAGCTAACATCATAGACGCTACTTGCCCATATTACCTGCACTGGCCATATTTATTTGCATTCGTATATATATAATTCGATTGATAGTGAGGGGTGACAACAACAGCCCGTTCGACGTCGAAGCCACTGAGTAAAAGTTCATGAAAAGCCATTGGACTATGACTTTGCTGCTGAAAAATAATCCCTAGCTAACATTTGTTGTCAAATCCCTAGAAACAAAATATGATTGTTACATAAACGAATATTGTGATTTTGAAAATCATCTTACAAATTTCATTTGTTGTCTTGTTCAAAATATACGATAATGTTTATGAAGTAAATTTCATTTGTTGTCTTGTTCAAAATATACGATAATGTTTATTAAGTAAATTTCATTTGTTGTCTTGTTCAAAATATACGATAATGTTTATTAAGTAAAATTTAAATTCACGCTAAATTGCGCCTGGTCCGGTTAAATTATGACAAAGTTTATAATTGTTCTTCATGTGAATTAAAAATAGAATCCCCATACCCCTGCAATAATCCCTCAAATATAGTATTAAAGGGGAGAATACCTGTTATCTTCTTTGAAATAGTTTCGCCCCATGCCACGTCCTCTTGTAAACCAATCGCTAGTCCACTGTACGTTATAGACAAAAGTATCAACCCATTTAATGTTTGTCCAAAAATATAAAGGTGTCCCATAGCAAAATATTGAGCATTTATTTTTCTATTTAATTCAAATCAGCACTCGGCATCCGGTGGGGAAATCACTGGTATGTAATAGGCAAAGGTCTGGTGTGTTTTGTAATTATGAATTTTGTGGTCAGCTGCAATTTCTATTGCTGTAGATTTAAAGCCAAAATGTTCAGATTCTTCTATTTATTATATTAAAGTGACGTGCCAATCATTAAGATTTTTTTTTGTCTTTTCAGTGCATGCCAGTCAGACTTTTCTGGTATTATCAGAATTAAATCATTCAAGTATTAATATCGATACTTTAAAGTAGAGGCTCGTGGTTTTAGTGGAAGCACGCCTCATTCATTGGCGTTTTCTTCACTATCCGTCGACTGCATTCCAGGGAATACAGGCTGAGGTTGCGTGGCAGCAAGAGGAATGAGTTCTGGACGGCGCGCCTAGCTAGACATGCATAATCGTTGTCATATAGAAATAGTTATCATTAAAACGGTTAGTTGGAATCCTCCACTCGAGTGATTGGAGTTTGCCCTGCAAGTGCACCTAAGATTTGTCCTGCAAGTAACAGATCACTGATTCGCCCATAGTTTTTTATGATCACTTATGTGACATATAAAGTACAAAGAATATAGAAGTTATGTAATTTTCTGTTTTCAATTTTTTTTATCGTGTGAGAATTGGATGTAAATCTTCCGCAAACGCAGGTTAACGTTTCGATATAATTTGCACTTTCGGTGGGAAGTGACGCTTGGAAATTTTATTTAGCTAATTGATTTTAACAGTAACGCTTAACTCGCGAACAGGCTTCTTCCTATAACACACTCTTTGTAATCAGAAACAACTGTAATATATTTGAGACAAATATGAGCCAACCAGACACAGGCTTCAAGTGCTCTACTTCACGATACAGTTCCATACGTCACCATCTCAAACAAAATCTTGCTGCCATAGTTGAGGAATCTGTGTTTATTTTGCGATAAGAGTATGATCCATAGGAATTCTCAAACATATAGCTGCCAAGCCTGACTTGTTCGGGAAACATCCACTGTGGACTGCTTATGCATTGCCTACGAAAAGTGAGATTAAAGGAGTGCAGATTCACAAAAAAGAAAATACACGCATGAAGGTTCAATTTTGTTATCTCAGGAAAATGGCTCTGAAAAGCTTAAAAGAAACCTTATTTCAATACTTTTTATGTCTATTAATGATGCATTTTTACATGTTCAATTTAAATTATTTATATTAAGTGTGTAAATGGAATCATATGGTATAATACACCTGCGGGATGAAGTGAAATTTTGTAATGTCATATTGTAATCTATCCTCGGAAAATTAGTACATTATTTTTCATTAACGTTTTGTTGGTTGCTATTATTTGGGAAGCATTCCTCAAATTCCATCAGGCCAGATCGGTTGCAGGATATCTTCACGCTTCTTTCAGAAATTTGCAGAGTGTTGTCAGTCTTCGGGTACACTGGTCGTTACTCGTGACAAGTCAAAAATTCAGCATTAATGAACACGGATTAAAGTTTCTGATATACACTCTGCAGCACATGACTACTGGATAAAATAACTTACTGCATACACGAGCGAGGAAAATCAATTTTTTTCGATATCAAGGACTTTCAAAGCGAGTTTTTTTCTGTTGAAAACGATACTTTTCGCTGCATAACATAACTTAGCATCTTTTAGTTGGTAGTATACGAGAAAGTAAAAAAAAATATTGACAGAAATAAAATCTTCACTTTGAATACGAGTGAATATTATGTACTAATTTTGATTAGATTTTTCTTAACGGACGACGTTTATTGTAATTCTTAATGGCCGCCGCCCATTTAAAGTGTCGTATATCACTTAATCTGGTTATGTCGATATCCCTGGGTCTGGGTTAGGTCTTGGGAATAGATTTCCGTTGAAATACATATTTTTACATGAACAAGATACCTATATTCAATTATATTTTTTAGAGTTTACAGCCATTTATACCCATTTTTATTTTACATATTTTAGCATTATTACATATCTTTACGTAGTTTACCTAAAACGGAACATTTCATGATGCAATAAACGTTACTGAAATCATCTTTCTTTCAAAGCAATGTAACATTACTACGCTTTTAGGATCTCAGGACCATTGCCATGAATTGCCAAATCCCCCCTCTGCTTCATGGAAACGGCGTTCTCGGAATCACGTTTGCGGAAGATTGACTAGCAGAAGTCCAACTACTCACGTGATTGACAATGTATCATAGACCCCATGATCTGATCTCATTGTTGGATTTGGAGGGGAGGGGGTGTTTCCTTTACCCCCCCCCCTCTTCCGGGATCCACCAGTGGCTGCACGGTACCAGCATGGAGGAATATAATCATTTTATATTCCTTCATGTTACTGCCATAGAATCATTCTGCCATCTATTCATCCATGGTATTTGCTTGAGCATCTGCTCTGAAATATTGTATAACAAACGAACGTATTTTATATTTTGAATAAAACTTATGTTTGGTGCAAATCCAATTTTTGTGTATTTAAGTATACAAAGTTGAACAAAAGACATTCAAGATTATGTTACGTTTGGTGAAAACGTAGTTTACATACTTCTGTAGAGGTAGAACTTGCTAGTTGTTTAGTTCGAGATATAATTGTAAGGCTGTATACACGTGTCGTGACGTGGGATCGTGTGGTAATACGTGTCATATCACATTCTACCTGCGAGTCTTGTAGATCCGTTCACTTCGTGTTGACATGACGTGGGAAAGTGTGGAATGTTATGATCTGACGTAACACCGCACGACACCTCTGGACCGAATCACATCTTTCGGAGTTTCGCCAGTGCGAAGGCGTGTTCAGTCATCTCGTCTGGTCTTCTCTTTCTTTTCAGTTACTTGGTGATCTAGATTTTTACAATGATGAAAGAGAAACTCGCTGAACATGTTAGAAAGAACCTGCTGCTTTCTGATCTTATTCACGCCAAACAAATTCAGAAATTGTCCCTTTTCCATAGTGAAATATTGCGGCCTTGGTATATTCACAAGCAAGTGTTTCGCATCGTAATTCTTTTAATGAGTATTGATTTCATTAATGAGTCGGCATTTA